TGTATGGCACTGCAAAAATGTATCTTCATGCTGGATTTTAATCTCACAATTCAGAAGCTTGCCTTACAACATATAAACTAATAAACTGAAAGGTAGTTATGACCATGGTGAACCTATAAAATCTTATTAATGAATCAGAAGGCGTTTATAAAGCCTTCTAAGGCCCTATCCACATCTATTTATATAAACAATATATTTATTTGCATTCACATGAAATTTAAAAACATAAAAATAAATCAAATAAATCAGTGATGAGCTGTCGAGAACATGTCAATCCAACAGATCATCCAAATGATCAAATCAATCCAAAGTCATCGTGCTGTAGGTATTAGTAGGTTTACTGAAGGTGCAGCTGATGTGCAGCAAGGGGTTTGCATCTATGATAAACTATGAACCAAGTCGCATTAATGTCAGCAGCTAACTTTCAGCAACTCTCATATGGTCGCCCTCTGAAGCTAAGCAAGGCTGCGCCTGGTCAGTACCTGGATGGGAGACCACATGGGAAAGCTAGGTTGCTGCCAGAAGTGGTTTTAGTGAGGCCACTCAACCTGCAGCCTGTGTGGGTCCTAACACCCCAGTATATTGATGGGGACTCTATACTGCTCAGTGAGCATCATCTTTCAGATGAGACAATAAACCGAGGTCCTGACTATGTGGTCGTTAAAAATCTTAGGATGTCCTTTTAAAAAAAGAGTAGGGGTTTAACCCCGGCATCCTGGCCAATTTTCCCCACTGGCCTCTATCTATCATGGCCTCCTAACCATACCCATATCACAGTTGGTATCACTCAGACCCCGTTTACACTAATGCGTTTTAATTTAAAAAACCCACAAGTTTTGCTACGGTTACGCCAACCGTCCACACTACGCCGGGGTTCTCGAGCGCCGAAAACGGAGCATTTCGAAAACGCTGGAGAGGCCGTTTTCATTCTGAAACGCTGCTGCTTCGTCTCAGTGTGGATGATGGAAAACGGAGACATCTGAAAACGGAGGCGGGGCTGCAGACATTCGCCTCTCTGATTGGGGCTTTTCCTGAATATTAAGTAGCCTAACACACACAATTCAGTCCTAAATTCTCTCCTTGTAAGTTCAGACTTCGCAAGTTTGATCAAGGCTGCAGTCTCTTCTTCTCAGTTTGATATGGAAAACAGACTATACCGAGGACACGGGTAAATCTTCAAAGGGAACAGTGTACTTTATAACTTCATTCACATCACCCTGGCTACATTGTTTCACTTTCTCAACAATAAAATGTAAACATGATTTAAGGAACTGCCTATTTTCATTTTAATATTAGCAACTTAGACAGCAGAAATGTTGAGGCGTCGTGCTGCATATATGAGCGTCATCTTCACTGTGTGGATATTTATAACAAAACGGAGCCGATAACAACTGTCTCCTTTCAATTTCAGTGAAAATACGAAACATACCCTCTCTTTTGCTGAATATCAGTTTTAATAATCGATAATGGCCATTATAAAAGTATAACATACAATAAGTTTATACATTATAGGTAATAAAGGCAAGCGATCAGTCAATATACAGAATAGGCTACGTGGTTACATTAATCATTAACTTATCTTTGCGCTTAGCCAAAACACGTTACCTGAGAAAAAGTAATAGATTCCAATGACCAAAGTCAGGGAATATGTCGTTAGATAAAGACAACAAGATGAATAAAATATCCCATTTAATAAATATAGTGAGATTAGATCCAGCGGTAGATGCTTGATGAGAAGTCCGACTAGCACAGCTCTCATCTGGGTAGATGGGCTGCAGCGCTTGCCAGAGAGAGTGTGTGTGGTCACGTGATGTGCATTTTCAGCGTTTTGGTGTGGATGGAGATATGTTCAGAAACGCTGGGTAAAACGCGAGTGTGGACGTGGATCGTTTTCATTCTAAAACGCCGTTTTAAAACTAAAACGCACTAGTGTAAACGGGGCCTCAGTTTCCTCTCCATTAATCAGCTGGATGTGTGGTGTGTGGTCTGGCACAAAATGGCTGCCGTTGCGTCATTTAGGTGGATGCTGCACACTGGTGGTGGATGAGGAAAATCCTCCCCATTGTGCTCCCCAAAGCGCTTTAAGCATCTAAAAAAAGCACTATATAAATGTAAGCAATAATTCTTCTTATTTATTGAACGCAAGATTGGTTAATAAATCCATATAAAAAAAGTCTCTTAAAAGTGACGTTTTGTCTTTAGTTTTGGGCTCCGGTGCGCTTTGCACTCACACTACAAGTGTACTGCACCAAAACCCAACTGAACCACGCTCTGGCACACCTCTTCCAACCGCACCTAGGCCCAATTTAGAGTACTCACACCTGTTAAACGAACCTGGAAACGCGCCTGAGCACGGTTTGGATAGCATAGTGTGAGTGCACCCTAAGCATAAAGCCATGTTGGCCAGTTAAATGCCCGCAAAAAGGAGATGGTAGGGCATAATCTGACATTCCACAAAGGAGATAACAGCACACACTCCAACGTCACAAGACGTTGCTACACAACAACACTATAACTGGAGTTTCTGAAAATCTTCACTTTGGCAGAACAATTTTCTTTTTTTAAACCTGATAAACGTCAACCTGCAGATGAACAGCCAAAAAACAGAAAAAAACCGCTGTTTTGAAAACACATATTCCTATACAGGGACTAAAAATTCTAAACTATGCATTTTGACCATATAGTTACACGACATTAGCTATGTTTCCATTCAAAGATGCAAATTAAATTTATATGCAAAACTAGAATTTCACATAAAAAGACGTGTGAATAAAGCAGCGTTTCCATCCAACCAGTCAAAGAGAACAAAATTGTCACTTCCTGATTAACTGGTGCCAAATATCAACAGTAAAAACAGAATTTGCTGCAGTAAGAGAAGCTGCATGAATCTTTTCTTTATTTAATAAATGACTTGCTCATCAGAAGACGATACCGACATGCAATGAAGGCATGGTGGCATTTGAAGGTGTGATATGCGAAGCACAGATGCTCTTGATTCTGATGGTAATTCATAATATAATAACACTAATACTGAAATGGTTAGGGATTTTTAGAATGACCAAACCAACATTTCAGATGTTTTACGATGTGCTTAGCTTGCTGATTTGTCCACTTACATGCATCTTTATCATCACATGGTCTCTCACATCAAAATCACATTACTTTTTTTTCATGCGCATACAGGAATTTGTTCAATAAGTGTTTCCATCGTAGTGCACATCTTTTATCAAATAAAATGTTTGTCCTACTCGATTATGTGCATATGGTTTATATGTGCATTTTCAAAACTTACGCGAATCTGCGAATCTTGCCGTTTACATCAACTGTGCGCAAATCCAAAATGAGTATAAAAATAGGTATATGGAAAAAAATTGTTTTATAATAATTTCTAAACTACAAAAAAAATGACGTCATGTTTTAGGATGAGGTCACACATTTATGTTTAATATGCTTTCAGTAGACATGAACAAGTATATGACAGCCAAAACAACAACATCAGAACACAAGACTAAATGTTCACAGGCATAAAGCATTTCTTAATTAAGTGACATCGCCACCCACTGGCCTGGCATGCATAATACTGTATTTTTAGTCATTTACACAGATCCAGAAGTGATTCATTTTGTTCAGAAAACTTTTTTATTTTTTTTAAATCTTGTTCTGAGTATACTCTTATCATGTAACTATGCTCAGTTTCAGAATTGTATGGCATAAACTGCTAAAAATCAAATTCTTAGAAAAAACGTCTGAATTCCTTAATAAAAAAAACTGCAGAATTTGAAAGACATAAACTTGAAAGTGAAAAAAATAGGCCAGAACTCTGAGATAAATAGTGGCAATTAACTTTTCATTTATTTTATTCCATGACAAAAACAAGCTCCCATATTTCACTGCACAGCAGTCATTACTTGGTCCGTTAAAGCTGTGTGGTTTCTATTCATCCTTGCAGAGCTCAAAACACACAAACGTGCTCACAAACCAAGATCGATATCACTGCATATCAACCAAAAAAAAAAAAAAGTCAACCAAAATGCATCTGCAGGTTTCTGAGAGCAAATGCAAGCCAAGTGAGGGTTGAACTGAAATGAAAATGTACTCAAGTCAGCCCATCAGGAGTGAATCTGACCACCCTGCGAATCTAACAGCAATAATTTCCTTCCCGTGAATCCCCCAGACACAAAACGCATCATTTACTCATCCATTTCAAGCACGGAAAACAGCTCAGCATATCAGCCAAAAATAAGAGCCATATATAAAAGCTGTCTAGGTTTCACAATACAGGATTTCAAATGGTACAAAGTTAGATAGCTATCACGACACACACTTAAATTTGTGTATTAAACCGTGTAGTTTTATTTAAGCAGCAATTCTAGATTACATAATGCAATTTGTCATAATATCAAACATCAGCCACCCTGATCTATATTTTACATCAATTCTATAAAGTTACTTTTGATTACAATGTCAGTCATGTACTTTGCACAATAAAAACGTCTCATATTATCACTTATAACTTATGAGTAGTGTTACATATGCCGACGTAAACATTGTCTTTAATGTCATTTTAAAGTCTGACAGCAAGGGAATTAGTGCTTTAAAAGAGAGGCTCAACCCTCACATAATTGCTAGTGTGTTTTGATGAAAAAAGTCAGACACTTGAACAGACACTTGCATATGCAAAACTTAACCAAATTGAGCAATGGAAAGAGGTAAAGTTGGTTTTTTATTCGCACATTCATTCATTTAGCAGTCTCTGTATTGTTTACCATGTTACTTTGATAATTCGATCGGAATTAGCATGCAAGCATGACATCTAAACAACATTTACACCATCCAATTCACTGTGAACAATGTTGTACTTTGATGGTCATTTGCTGCAAATATGTTTTCCCTATTTACAATTTTTCAAAGAATACTTTTCTAAAATTATTTTATTAAGAATTATGTCTGAATATCCAAATATAAAACCAACTTTACCTCTATGAGAAATGGGGGCTCACCTTCATTTTCAGATGATGGACACGCAACTTGAAGAGCCAAATCAAAAGTCCTTGCAGGATTCTCACTGGAAAAGGAAAACATAGTTTGAACTTAACGTTACTAACTTTAAAACAATTTATTTGACAAGCATTCACTCTCCTTCCAAACCAACTTGATTAAAATATACAAAAATAACCATAACACTGAACATTTGTCAACGTTTCTTCTTAGACTGAACACAAGTTACACGTTAAAATGCTTTTATTTTAGTGTGAACTATCTCTTTAAAATCTCGACATGCCATTAGACACTGAGCTATGCAGTCAGTTTGCTGCTGTGAATTCATAACACATACTATACAGTACACTTAAAAGCTATAGACACTAAATCAAGGCGTCCAACTTCATCAAAAATGAAATATATTCAGCTGTCAAGTTTAAATGGCTGTAGAGGAATGCGGCTAGGCTAGTTAGCATGTCTGAGGTAAACAGCTAACCGGTCAGCTGGACCTGTCATCTCTTCTCATTAGCCAAATTGGCTAACTAACGGATACGCCGCAGCCGCTGTGTTTATTTCAACCGAATGAAAGACTTTTATAACGGAGACTGATAACACAAAGCAGAGGAATGCGAAAGGTAAACAAGTGTCGACTTACTTTATCCTGCTGTCCATGGCTAAAGCATCGCGTCAGCAGCTGCTCGCGCCGACGGCGGGAAACTAAAACACCGTCGCGACACCGGAGCCACGCGCTTCTGGTTTTCACGGCTACCTGACGGAGAGTCGCGGATACTGCCGCATTTCTCGGTCTGTCGCCTGCCGGTGGCGCTTCCTGGACGCGTTCACTGACCGTTTCGGTTCCCCTGACTGACTGTGATCCTGCAATGAAGCACCAGGAAGCACCTGACTGTGCGCGTGCGTATGTTGTGAGTGCAACAGTAATGATGAGTCTAAAAATTCGTTATGCTGTAGTTTAAAAACAGTATAAGTTAGTGTCTGTGTGTGTTTGTAAGAAGAAAAAATGAAATGACTCCATTCACAGGAAATAAAAGGCAATGGAAGTGAATGGTGACTGAGCCTTGTAGTCCTTAAAGGGATAGTTCACCCATTCTGTCATCAATTTACTGACCCTCAAGTGAATACGTTTCCTTTTTTATTTATTTATATGAAATTTATAAATAAGTTATTTAAAATAATATTGGTTAAGACATACTGGAAACAAATGCACAAATTAGTTCAAAAGATTATTGGTAGCCCTTTTGTCTATCTCCAGCTATTTATCTTCTGAATTGTAAAACTGCTACACACCAGTCATGGACTAGAATCTTTGTTACACCATTGTATGTATCTAGCAAGAAAAATGTATTCTTATGTTGTTATCTCCTAACATTCATTCGGTCACTATGTGGATAGATCAGGGGTGGCCAACCCTGTTCCTGGAGAGCCACCTTACTGCAGATTTCAGTTGCAAACCATATCAAACACACCTGCCTGTAATTATCACGTGGTGTTCAGGTCCTAATTAATTGGTTCAGGTGTGTTTGATATGGGTTACTGAAATCTGCAGGAAGGTGGCTCTCCAGGAACAGGGTTGGCCATCCCTGGGATAGATCATCGAACCATTTTCTTACCCTTAGAAAAACTGACTTATATCCACACAGAATCTGTCCATAAAGAAATCCATAAATTAACGCAAATTTTTAGCCTATCATTGGATATATTTATTTATTTTTATTTTGTGTAAATGTGTGTAAAATTATATTTATTCACTTTTCATATTAATTACAGTAATATTATTGACTTGTTAATGTTACGATTTATTTAAAATACAGTTTGTGAAGTAATATTTCCTCTTTTAGTAGAGATATTATATGAGAGACTTGCTTTGTTTACCAAAAAAAAAAGTAGAGTTAATTGGATTTGCATTGTAAACATGCAATAAAAGTTAAAAAGGTATTATTTTTATGTCATATTAAGTTTTTAGTTATGATACTCCCAAAATCATTCCACGGAAATAGCAAAAAATGTCTGCCGATTCTGTCTGGTCCTACTTATAACTTGTGTACATATCTGTAATCCTATACCACTGTTCTGTCATTGCAAATCTTTAAATAAATGTCAAAAAAAAAAAGAAGAATATTGGAAGCCAGCAGCCATTGATATGCAAACAAAATTGTTACTCAACCTCCAGTCGTTTGCTTCATGAGACTTCAGTTTATCATTAGTTAGCATAAGACCAGGGGTGGCCAAATTTTTATGAAGGGCCAAAAAACAAATATCATTGACATTCATGGACTGTACTATGTATCATTAAATGCGCTATAGCTAATTAAATTCATAATATTCAAAAATAAATAGCAAATATTGATTAGAATCGTATAAACTAATGCAGGTGACACAGTGGAGCAGTAGGTAGTGCTGTCGCCTCACAGCAAGAAGGTCACTGGTTCGAGCCTCAGCTGGGTCAGTTGGCGTTTCTGTGTGGAGTTTGCATGTTCTTCCTTGCGTTCGTGTGGGTTTCCCTCGGGTGCCCCGGTTTCCCCCACAGTCCAAAGACGTGTGGTACAAGTGAATTGGATAGGCTAAATTGTCTGTAGTGTATGAGTGTGTGTGGATGTGTCCCATAGATAGGTTGCGGCTGTAAGGGCATCCGCTGCTGGATAAGTTGGCGGTTCATTCCGCTGTGGCAACCCAGGATTAATAAAGGGAATGAGCTGAAAAGAAAATGAATGAATGAATGAATAAACTAATGCAGCATAATTTATTTTATTTTTTATTATAATTTAATATTTTTTTGGTCCCACTTTATTTTAAGTGGCCTTAACTAATATGTAGTTTGTTACAATGTACTTATTGTGTAAATACATGTATTTATTGTGTACTTATGCTTGATTAAATACATGTATGTAATTACATCTGTAACTAACTTTTGTAATTACATTTGTAAATACACTGTTGACCATCCCTTAAACCTTAACCCACCCTTAAACCTACCCATTCCACTAAACCTGTCCATAACCCAACAACTATCCCAACTCAAAAGCACCACAAGTGTTCTCAAATACATTATAAACACAGTAAGTACATTGTATTTATTTTTTGATGTAAGTACATAGTAGTTAAGGGCACTTAATATAAAGTGGGACCATTTTTATCTTTTTACAATAAAAAAATAATCACTTTTTATAACACAGTGCGGTTCAATGTTGAATACACTAGTCAAGCAGAATTAGCTTTTGTCTCCATTTGCTCACTGATGTCTTTGATATGTGCTCTATTCATCGGGTGACAGTATGTGCGTTTAACGAAAAAATCTAATTAATTTCATTGAAATTTCCATTATCTTTTTGAGGCTTATCAATAAAACAAACAAACAAATTAGAAATTACAATCTATAAACCGTCCCCATTATTCTCCATCTCTTGTTAGATGGGATGGTGAGCCAAATGAAAGGTTACCATGAGCCAACTTCGGCCCGTGGGCCCTAGTTTGGGCATCTCTACATAATACATTATCAGTTTTTCTTTTTACAATAATTGCTGGAGCTTTTATAACAATGTATATCACTTCATAAAACTATATTTTTGTATATTGCTTTATTGTTTGACTGTTTAGAGTAAACGAGTTAAATTATAATAAACAAACACATTAATGCAATAACTATCCTAAATGATGTGAAACAGCTACATTTGTTATAGAAATTCTGTTAGTTTTAATATAAAAAGTACAACTGAACTGAACTACGCTAAATCCATAATTACACTTTAAATTATTCAGTTGTACAATTTAATTTATTCAACGTTAACCAAGAAATTAACATCACCTAAAAGATTAATAAATGCTTTCATTTTATCATCAATTTTTCTTAACTAATGTTAATAAATGGGGGCTTATTGTGAAGTGTTAAGGCATATAAAGAACCAGAACATGCATGCATTCATTCATTCATTCATTCATTCATTCATTTTCCTTTAGCTTAGTCCCTTGGTTATCAGGGGTCACCACAGTGGAATGAACCACCAACTATTCCAGCATAAGTTTAACGCAGAGGATGCTCTTCCAGCCGCAACCCAATACTGGCAAACAGAACATTTTCAATCACTTTATTAAGCATGTCATCTGCCTTTTTTAACATGTAAATAGGTCTTCAAACATTCTGTGCTGATACAAACGCCATTTGCCAATTCAACAATCTGAATATTCTGCATTCTGAAAACGTAGATAATAAATAGTGATTCAACTTGTTCTGAAGTGCTCACAATATCCTGCGGGTTCATTATCAACATTTTTTCATCAAATACCGGCACGTTTCTGATCAGCAGAAGCAACAGGTATTAATTTAGCTTTTCCTCTACATACTTGTACACACTTAAAGTGCCAAGACCACAGTTTTGGCCTGAACTATTTTTAATCTTCTGTTTAAGAAAAGAGCTGTGTAAAGAAAGTCATACAGGGATGGATAAACATCAGTCATTTTTGAGTGAACGGTCTCTCTAATTCTGTCCTTCAGAGCATAGTTTTCTTGTACATGCATGCACAGACATGTCTAATGATGCTGGCTTGCATACTGCACGTGTTTGTATGGTTTACAAATACACTCTTTAAATTATTTCCACATCAAATGTTTCGGAACAGAAATGTAAGCTAATCTATGATGGATAAAAGCAGGCCTGTAAAAAAGCCAGCCTGTTTGTAAGATAAAAACTTGCAGTGGTGAGGCAAAGGAAGTATAAGTCACACCGCCCACTTGTCTAAAAAATAGCTTGGTGTTTCTTATGGGTCAATGCCTATTCAATTCAACCTGTTGCAATACACAGACCTGCACTTGTATTTGTCTGTCTATTTCCTGTGGAAAAATACTACAATGTGTCTGTCTGTCTACATGGTTAATGAAGGGAACTCTTGAATCTTTACTTGTCACCTGCTTGTCATTTCAAATTGAATTAATCTGCTGCTATTTCTGCAGATGTTGTACTTACTTCTACCACACAATTTGCATATGCTATATTATGTACCGTTTGACAACGTCTGGCTGTAATGGTAGGTTAATACAGACAGTTAAACAGGCCAGAGTCGATCATATAATAAAAGGCAGATGATCTATAAATGTTTGAACGATATCAAAGATCAAGGATGATGTTCATAAATGTCAGGTCAGTGCATGTTATATCATTTGTATTGGGGGAAGTTGAGATGTTTTAAACACACACACACACACATACACAGCATTTAAAATGAATTGACTTTAACTGTATTATTCATCATTTATTTGTGTTACATGTGTATTACATTCAATTATATATACACTCAGTACCGAGTTGGACCCCCTTTTGCCTTCAGAACTGCCTTAATACTTCGTGGCATAGATTTAACAAAGTAATGGAAATATTCCTCAGAGATTTTTTTTATCTTGACATGACAGCATCACACAGTTGCTGCAGATTTGTCTGCTGCACATCCATGGTGTTAATCTTCCGTTCCACCACATCCCAAAAGTGCTCTATTGGATTGAGCTCTGGTGACTGTGCAGGCCACTTGAGTACAGTGAACTCATTGTCATGTTCAAGAAACCAGTCTAAGATGATTCACGCTTTATGACATGGTGTGTTATCCTGTTGGAAGTAGCCATCAGAAGATGAGTACACTGTGGTCATAAAGAGATGGACATGCAGCAACTATAGTCAGGTAGACTGTGGAGTTGACACGATGCTTAATTGGTACTAACAGGCCCAAAGTGTGCCTATATACCCACCACACCATTATATCACCACCAGCAACCTGAACTGTTGATACAAGGCAGGATGGATCCATGCTTTCATGTTGTTGATGCCAAATTCTGACCCTACCATCCGAATGTTGCAGCAGAAATTGAGCCTCATCAGACCAGGCAACCCTTTTTCCAATCTTCTATTGTCCAATTTTGGTGAGCCTGTGCTAATTGTAGCCTCAGTTTCCTGTTAGTGGCACTCTGTGTGGTCTTTTGCTGCTGTAGCCCATCTGCCTCAAGGTTGGACGTGTTGTGCGTTCAGAGATGCTCTTCTGCATACGTTAGTTGTAACGAGTGGTTATTGAGTTATTGCTGTCTATCTATCAGCTCGAACCAGTCTGGCCATTCTCCTCTGACCTCTGGAATCAACAAGGCATTTGTGCCCTTAAAACTGCTGCTCTCACTGGATATTTTCTCTTTTTCGGACCGTTCTCTGTAAACCCTAAAGATGGTTGTGCGAGAAAATCCCAGTTTATCAGCAGGTTCTGAAATACTCAGTCTAGACCACAGGTGTCAAACTCAGTTCCAAAAGGGCCACAGCTCTGAACAGTTTAGTTCCAACCCAAATAAACACACCTGATCAAACTAATTGAGTCCTTCAGGCTTGTTTGAAACCCACAGGTAAGTGTGTTGGAACTACTGTAAACTGTGCAGGGCTTCGGCCCTTTTGGAACTGAGTTTGACACCCCTGGTCTAGACTATCTGGCACCAACAACCATGCCACATTTAAAGTCACTTAAATCACCTTTCTGCCCCATTCTGATGCTCGATTTGAACTGCAGCAGAGTGTCTTGACAATATTTACATGCCTAAATAGAACTGCTCGATCGTGCAGATTCGCACTCTATAACATCAGAAAGATCCGACCCTTCTTATCTGAACAGGCAGCTCAACTCCTTGTTCAAGCTCTTGTTCTCTCCAAACTGGATTACTGCAACTCTCTACTAGCTGGGCTTCCAGCTAACTCTATCAAGCCTCTTCAACTGCTCCAGAACGCAGCAGCACGAGTGGTCTTCAATGAAGCTAAACGAGCACATGTCACTCCGCTGCTAGTCCGTTTGCACTGGCTGCCAGTTGCTGCTCGCATCAAATTCAAAGCTTTGATGTTTGCCTACAAAGTGACTTCTGGCCTTGCTCCTTCTTATCTGCACTCACTTCTGCAGATCTATGTGCCCTCCAGAAACTTGCGTTCTGTGAATGAGCGTCGCCTCGTGGTTCCATCCCAAAGAGGGAAGAAATCACTTTCGCGAACGCTCACGCTCAATCTGCCCAGTTGGTGGAATGAACTCTCTAACTGCATCAGAACAGCAGAGTCACTCGCTACTTTCAAGAAATGACTAAAAACTTAACTATTTACTCTCCACTACACTTCCTAATCTGCAATTGCCTCTCTGAATATCACACTAACTGTACCAAAAAAAAAAAAAAAAAAAAAAATACTAATACTACTAATACTTCCCTTCTTAGACTTTACAGACCTGAAACTTGCCTATAGCACTTATTCATTGTTGCTCTTAGTTGTGAAAATTGCTTCCTTGTCCTCATTTGTAAGTCGCTTTGGATAAAAGCGTCTGCTAAATGACTAAATGTAAATGTAAAATGTAAATGTAAATACATTGTGTTGCTGCCATGTTATTGGCTGATTAAAAATTTGCATTAACAAGCAGTTGGACCTGTGTACCTAATAAAGTGGCCGATGAATGTATATATCTTTTATTGTATTTATTATTATTTATTTATTTTGCTAAACTGTTGTTATTTTTGCTTAAATACATTTAGCTTAACTTTATTTTCACACAAGGTCGATGTGTTTTAAAATATAACAGTTTATTTATATAATAAGGCTAAAAATAAAAAACTTAGGTATAGTATTTTCAGATTTTTTAAAAATGTTAAAATATTATATATTTCTTTACATTGAATCAGTTTTTCACATCGTTAACCTTATGAGTCATTTTACTTAAATTACTTTAAAATCATTTAAAACGTTTACAATTCAGTTGAAACACGATTAACTTAAATAAATTATTATAAACATAAAAGCAAAAGTTGTCATGATGACTTCATTCATTCGTTTTCCTTCGTCATAGTCCCTTATCATGATGACTTATTGATGATAATTGTTTTCAGTGTGAGGTTTAAAGTTTGGCAACTAATCACCTCCCAACACTACACACTTGCTCCTGCAATGCTACTATCCAACAGAGAAGGCGCTAAAATGCATTTTGTACACGCCACAGAACATGAAAACAGCATGAGGAAGACCACAGTTATGGTAACCTTTTATCGCTAGTAGTAGAGTGCGAAAATGATTAGGCAACTTTAACAGCTGTGCTGTATGCAGTGGTTGTGGACTATTTCGAAACGCCAGACTGTCAGAAGTTTGCATTTGTCTGCAAGCAACGTCATGAGACAGGACTTTTTAGTTTCCCTTTTTAGCAGGAGTCATGTTGCTATTTGGTTCAGGCAGACTTTTAAGGCTAACACATTTTCGAACGAATACAATAATGCCAAACGACCTGTTTAATAAGAAAACGGCGCGTTTACATCGCAGTGCATGCGACAGCGAGGTGAATTCGAATTGTGACGATAAAACCATAAGCGCTTCACCTGAAACTATTACAGATGAAGACAGAATCATTCATGAACTCCATCAGGACGCTTGTAAGGTAAGAGCCAAATCAAAAACTTTATAAACTACACTGGTGATACAGTTATAGCCTGCGTTTGTGAATAATGTGTGGAAATGTGTAGCATTATTAATTAGCGTGAAAAAAGTATAACACGTGGCTTAATGTACCTAATCATCAATAAGAGATGCCCACATTTCTGACAAACTTTACTTGTAAATAACCCTAAATACTGTTAAAAGAATAAGTCCCAATTATATAGATTAAGTGAAAAACATCACGTTAAGTGTTTCCCCTATTGAAGTCTATTAGGAAAGAGCTGTTGCTTAATGTAACTTAATCCGCTGGGGAAACCAAATTTCTATCAAATTTTAAGCAGTTTTTGATGTCAAATGAATGAGCTCTAATTTGTGAAAATTGAAAATTATTACATTATGCGTTTTTTCCCCCCACTGAAGTCCATTAACGTACCTCAACAAGTGGGGCACACCAAAAATGTATCAAGTTTTACTTGTAACTACCACTAACTACTATCAAAAGATCAAGCCCTGATTCTGTAGATGAAGCGAACAATGTCATTTTAAGCATTTTACTCCTTGAAGTCATTATATCAGCTTAATTTAGTTTAAATTAACATCTGGGGTCCATTCTTCGTAGCTCGCTATCTAAGATGATTTGGCAGATCCTGGATCTTTTAATCTTGATTGCTGATCTCTGGCTAATTTGGTTGCCTATTCAAGTTTCTTAATTGGTGTAAGAAATAGCTGGCTGTTTAAATTAATTTTGCATCAAAATAGCATTTTGATATCGATAAAACTGCAACTTTAGCAAAGCATCAAATCATTGTCAAAAATGTATCTTGACTGCATAAATTGTTATTGCTTTAATAAAAAGTTGAATATTAAAATTAAACTGAAGCTGGTTGGTACCTTGAAATAGTAAGCGTTTGTATCTAAAAGTCCATATTAATAAATATTCTCTTTGAACCCCGTGGGGAGAACCGCATCGTGACAGTTTTAAACTAAAACTGAAACTATATATATATATATATATATATATATATATATATATATATATATATATATATATATATATATATATATATATTCATGTATATATGTTCATACATGAAAACCAATTCTAGCCATATTTTAACCGATTGTGCCCCTCTATCTCTATTGGAGGTGTCAGTATGGTTAAAAAAACACTATAATGTTAACTATAAATTACTATAGTATCTTTTCATGCCTGACGACTGAAAATAGAGCTGTTACTTTTAACAGATTTTTTAAAACTTTTTTTACCCTGTTCCTGGAGAGCTACTGTACCTTCCTGCAGAATTAAGTCCCAACCCTGATCAAACTCACCTGAACCAATTAATAGTACCTAAAGCAGCACTTGATAATTACAAACAGGTGTGTTTGGTCAGGGTTGCAACTGAAATGTACAGGAAGGAAACTCTCCAGGAACAGGTCAGGTGTTGGTGACCCCTGCTTTAAGCTGTATAGAAGTGTCTTGAAAAATATCTAGTAAAATATTATTAACTGTTAATCATTAGAAAAGAGTTATTAAAACTGTTATGTTTAGAAATGTGTTGAAAAAAATCTCTAATTTTAACAGAAATTGGGGAAAAAATAAACAGGTGGGCTAATAATTCTGACTTTAACTGTATATATTGTACCACAAAAAATGGATATCATGACAGGCCTAAAGTTAAGCTTTTTATAAGCGCTTTAGAAGTTCCCTAGTATTAGCAAATATCCATTGTAATCGTGGAATGTCCTACATTTTTTTGGTTCTACAGATATTTTTTACACTTTGATACAAAAAAACAACAACAACATACTAGACTTCTTGCATACTAGTATGGCTATTTAAGTATATGGAAGTATGGAAGACTGGGTCATTTTTTTAAAGTTCCTTTTGGCTGTCAGGAGCGATGTAGTTTGATGGCCGAGGGAAAGTTATGGAGGACCCGTAGAGTTGGAGGATGCACAGACAGTGTCAGCTTCACTATGGAGCCAAAGGATGGCATCTGAAATGGCATGCCACGAAAAGTGCCTCAGGCCCTTTTGGCATCGAAGGCTGTCATAGATGAAGCCAGCGCTCTCTGAGGGAGAGTCCGAAATGATGCTTGAAAAACACATTTGTAGTGTGTTTCTGTAGTATTTTCATTACTTCTTGTAATTATTAAAAGCACCTGTACTGTATTTGTAGATATTATACTATTTAAATGTGTTTTTATTTATGGAACACTGATATTATCACCTGAGAACATTCCCAAACAGATGATAACCTGCTAATTGCGTCTGTTCACAGAATGAGAAAAGGACATATATTGACCCTGTAACCGGATACAATGTGTTCACTGAGTTTGCACACAGAAAACGGGGAAGATGCTGTGGAAGTGCTTGCAGACATGTAAGCTCAAGATTTTTCTGATGTTTATTTTTATGAGAGGTCTGAAAGAAAGTGTCTGTCAGTATTGTGTAGATTTCATAGTAAGTATTTTTTATTCAGAGTAAAATTTGGTTGAACTTTTAATGGATAACACGATGCTGAGACAGGATAAAATCCATTCTGTCAGTAACCCACAATGCATAATAAAAAGCAAACGGTTTGCAAGATGGTATGTCTTTTTAAATGTAACTTTACTGTACCCATATGTTAACTCTAAGCCTCTTGTTTTTCTCTACAGTGTCCATACGGGCAAATTAACGTGGAGGATCCTGCTAAGAAGAAAACCTTCAACTCTTTGTTTTATGTATAGCAGTAAATGTGAAGATTGGCTGAACAACTCGTTTTGTGTGCTCCACGTATTGAATTTGGACTTCTTTTAATGCGCATTCGTCTTACGCTGCTCTGTTTAAAATGATGAAATACGCTACACCAGATGTGCAACCCACACTCCAGGAAATGGTTTGAATCACATCTATCCACAGTGATTTGACTTACAGGAGCTGGTGTGCTCCTCTGTCAGATGAATTCCACTAGCGGGAATTTTTGCAATGATGAATATTCATATGGTTATAGGCGATCTTAATTTTGACAGCTGTCAATTCTGACTACGTCCTTGCTCCTTGGAAAATATTCAGCCATAAAAAACACAGTGGAGAATAAAGTTTTTCTTAATGTATGTTGGCATTACATATCTTTAATGGTCGCACTTTGTGTTGTAAGATTTTGAATGTTTTTTTTTAAAGCCTCTCTTTGATTCAAATAATAGCCTGCATTTGTTTGATCCAAAGTACAGCAAAAATAGGATTCAAATAAAATATTTGAATATTTCTATCTTTACAGTTCTCAATTCAAATTGAATATGTATATATGACCTCTGTATATGATGCTTAAAGGTGCTTTAGCAACAGACGCTAGAGGTCATGGTATTTAGCCTCCTTGTTAGAGCAACTGCCGCTTCGATCCCAGCTCAGATCAGGCTGTGTGCAATAGGACTGGTGGGTTACATGTGGGGACTCGTCCGGGATGGGAGGGAAGTTTATAGGGGTGAGTGTAATGGAGGCTAGCTAACGAAGCGCTTTGCTGGTAAACCTCACACCTCTGACAGACACTAGAGCACGGATGTCCAGACTCGGTCCTCGAGGGCCGGTGTCTTGCTAAGTTTACTTCCAACCCCAATTAGACACACCTGGGCTAGCTAATCAAGCTCTCATTAGGCATTCTAAAAACATCCTTGCAGGTGTGTTGAAGCAAGTTAAAGCTAAAAACTGCAGGACGCCGGCCCTCCAGGACAGAGTTTGGACACCCCTGCGCTAGAGACCTTGGCCTTTAGCTTCCTTGTTAGAGCAACCGACTCCCATACAAAGAATCGCCGGTTCAATCCCAGCTCAGAGCGGGCTGGGTGTAGTAGGACCGGTGGGTTACATGTGAGGGCTCGTCTGGGATGGGAGTGAGGTTTAGGAGAAGGAGTGTAATGGAGGCTAGCTAGCAAAGTGCTATGCAGGTAAACCTCACTCCTCTGACCTCTAAAGGTGCTTAGTGACAGATGCTAGAAGCCATGGTCTTTTGCCTCTTTGTTAGAGCAACCAACCCCCATACAAAGAATCACTGGTTCAATCCTCTCAGACTTGGCTAGGTGCTGTTGGACTGGTTGGTTACATGTCTGGTATAAGAGTTAAGTTTAGGGGGTGAGTGTAATGGAGGCTAGCTAGCGAAGTGCTATGCAGGTAGACCACACTCCTCGCCAGACAGACGCTAGAGGCCATGGTCTTTAGCCTCCTTGTTAGAGCAACTGACCCCTTACAAAAAATTGTCGGTTTAATTAACTTAGACTAAGTGGAGTAGGACCGGTGAGTTACATGTGGGGGCTCATCCAGGATGGGAGTGAGGTTTAGTAAGTGAGTGTAATGGAGGCCAGCTAGTGCTATGCAGGAAAACCTCACTCCTATATATATATATATATATATATATATATATATATATATATATATATATATATGAATGATATAGCATATGATGTGTATTTGTGTGTATTTCGATCTTTCTAATCATCAAAGAATCATGAAAAAATGACCATTTTACTGTTAGTAAATATTGATAAAAATTATTTTAAGAAGTGTTCCCTGTACAGCAAAATAGAATATTAGAATGGTTTCCAAAGGATGATATGACTGGAGTAATGGTGTTAAAAATTCAGCTTTGGAATTAGGAATAAATTACATTTTAAAAATGTATTCAAATAGAAAAGTTATTTTAAACAACACATATATTTTTAAATGTTACTGTTTTTACTTTGGATCCAATAAATTCAGGCTTGGGGAGCAAAAGAGAATTGGTATTAAGAAGAGGTGAGAAAAAAAAAACGAATTGATTGTTCTGTTCTAAAACTTTTGACTGTTCTGTGTGTTGTGTGTGTATAATCCATCTGTAGAAAAAGAGTTCATAAAATTGTTTTGATTTTAGTATTTATTATTATGTACACTAATTAAAATTGCTTAAAATCTTATTGAATAATTCTGTTTTATGCAACAACAAAAAATGAAACTAATGCTGTTTCAACAGGTTTTATTGGATGTTTGTTTGCATGTACAGTTTACACTGCGAGGTAACCGTCAAGGCCTGGTGGACAAAATGTAATCACTCAGGTCCTTGATGGCTGTATAGAAATAAAGAGAAAGGAGATTAACCATTAAAATGTTTGTGTGTGTGTGTGTGCGCGCATTTTGACATAATTATTTATTGGTTAGGGTAAAAATATATTGCTATACAGAGTAAATACTTTGTATTCATTTTAGTGGTCTGGTATATCCTAGTTACTAGATCTATCTTTATATAATAATCCTGTCAGATTCATATCTAACTGTGGCTTCCAGAGATTAACACTGGCCTTTTTATCCACTAAATCTGTGATTTCAGCACAAACACTGTAAGTACACAGATTACACAGCGATTAACAGAAATCTCTTTATGTATAATCATGTGCAGTCATTGTATTTACATGATACTGTGTGTTGTAGATATGCAAAGCCAAGTCAGATTTTTGCCCCAGGCACTGGCCATCCAACCTGTCACACAGCATCGCAGGTCAGGAACAAGGAAACGGGCTCTGAATGCGGGAATGTGTATGTGGCAGAGCCCTGTCCCAGCTTTGCCGACTGGCGCCGAGCGCAATATCAGGCGGCGGGAGGGTCCCAAGGCGGGTGCACATTTATCAGGAGCAAGGCCCTGTGAACGTCGACAAGGAGATTCATGATCTCAACAGTTCCAGTGAGGACAGGCAGGCGAGGGGCTTGTGGCATCGTCAGTCCAGATGAGAGGCAAATTTATTTGGGTAAAACCTAAGATGAGGCAGCGGAGCGTACGGCAACAACATTTCCAGTGGAATGGCGAAGGTGTCACACTCATCAAGTACCTGGGCCTGCCTGCCACGGGTCTGCTTGTTTTGCCTAGGGACTTGTCTGTCACATTAAAGTAGATGCATTGCCATTCAAGACCCTTCCCAGTCCTAGTGCCTGACCATGAAATAGGCCAACTTTCAAGTCTGCCTTATTCCTCTGCATCATATGACTTCAGAGATCGCACAGTGTTGTCGTTCTCTTTTTCCCTTTCTGTCCCCTCTTTCTCTGTTTCTCAGTATTTGGTGACTGAGACGCAAATGCTACACAATGCTCAGTCCCTCAGAGCACAGACAGATTTCAAGAAAACTTGCTTTAGCAAACAACTCACAAGCCATGCGCTCGCTAGTCTTGTCATGCACTGGGATCAGGTGTGGAAATCATAACAACTGAACAAGAAAACATGCAAGTGAGAAAAGGGAAAATGAGTCTAAAACCTCAAGGGACTACCTTGGAAAAAGAGGAAACTGGTTATGCTTGAGTAGCATCTCCATCCAGGAGATTCCTTTGGTATCCAAACTGAGCATCTGGTGAGATCTGTTTATTTCCTCTGTCAGTTAATTGTGCATACTAGTTGGCTGAAATCAGGGGTTTGTTGCATGAATATTTCAGCATGGCTGGTTTTTATTATTGTCATTCTCTGCTTATCAATATACCTTTGTTTCGTGTACAGGTCATTAAGGTCGTACACACCTAGGTTCTGGCTTCAGTAACACTAAGCTGTCTCACCGATAATTCCCTCTGAATTGAAACGCACCCAAGCTGCCGTGGGGGCTACAGTTCCTGCATCTGCAGAGCTTTGGAGTCCGTCACCTGACCTTCAGCCAGAGCATATGCTGCAGCAGAGTCCATGCACTGCCACTTTTCTAGAGGCACAGAGGAACTGTATGCTTGGTCCAGCTTTCAAACGTATCGCTGGTCCAGGCAAACCATCCTTTCCAGCTCATGGGGACTGGGGGCAAGCCCTTGCAACCTCAGCAGCACAATGGACTTCTGCCGCTCCCTGCCATTCAAAAGCCCAGGCTAGGCAAGGGATGACACGCGTTGGCTGCGAGGAACGGATGTCAGTGGAGTGATGGCTGGAAAATCAGTTTCAGCATCTGGGCTGTCCCTCTGAGTGCGTGTGGGTGTGTGGTCCATAGCACCATTGTTGGCAGTGTTTGTGTGTGTGTTGAATCAAGCTGTAGCCGAGCAGCCCGTCTGGTCATGCAACAGAGACAATGTCATTCAGCCTTGGGGCTGAAGGCTTACCAAAGTGGTCAGATGGACAACTGGCTTCCCTGTGGTTGCACCAGTGCTCCTGAAAAAGCTCACCGCATCTGACTGACAGTCATAGGGCCAGATTCCTTTGGACAGGGCTGTAAATAGCTGCACAAAACAGTAGGGCATCTCCCCAAGACCTCTTGCAGTGTTCCAGCCAGACTGTCTGGCCATATCATGCCATATGTGGCACCGTTCATGCTGGATCAGGTGGTCGACTCATTCCGGGAGAAACCTTAACTTTGACTATTGTTTTAAGGTACAGTCTTGGCGATGTAGGGTAGATGCTTTCCAATTCCAACACAGTGTGCAATGCCAGTTGTCTTGATGACCCAATGCAATTTAAACCTATAAAATATATCAGAGGCTAATTTATACAACTTTATTCACTGTTTAACACAATTTTTAAACAGATGTGCCTCCAAACCTTACCCCTCATTCGAAGATAAGCAAATCATACTAAAATGTATGAACAAGAATTAGCTACTAAATCAAAAAGTTACTAATTGCTGTCATATACCATTGAGAATACCTATATTTAGCATATGCAATGGTTGTAAATGATTTGTTCTCAAAGGTAAGGTAAAATCTCCTTTTTTCTGCCATAAAACTGGTGCTTTAAAAGTAGAAGTTTACTTTGTTTGGCGTTATTCCACGACAAAGAAAAAAAGTATTTAGTTGATAAGAGTCACGCACAACATCTCGATCTACATTTAAAGGTATTTGTTGTTGTAGATCAGTCAGTTTCACCCCTGTTCCTCAAGACACCCACAGACACTGTACATTTACAAGGTTTTATTTGTCTTTCACTCCTATTTCAGAAAGTCTGAAACCAGAATCAGGTATTTGGTTAGGAAACATTCAAATTCTGCAGTCTTGGTATGGATCCAGAGACAGGGTTGTGAATGACTGTACATGCTTTAAATTGCTGTTTCCCAAACTTGTTCTTGGAGTACCCCCAAAGGTACCCATTTTGGAGCTTACGCACACATTTCAATCCATGGGGCTTTTAGTAATGAGCT